TGTAACGACAGTGGCGATATCGTGATTGTTTAGTGAGGCAGCTGGCTAAAGTGAAACCTCTCCTTTCTCATGGGCACTTTGAGACAGTAATTCGTGCCTTCGTCACATCCCGGCTCGATTACTGCAATGCACTTTACTTTAGAATCAGCCAATCCTCCATTAAGCGTCTCCAGCTGGTCCAGAATGCTGCTGCTCTCCTCTTGACTGGTACTCGTAAGAGGGAGCACATAACTCCTACTCTGCCATCCCTTCACTGGCTCCCTATATATTTTAGAGTTCTTTTTAACATCCTATTATTTGTTTTCAAATCTTTAAATGACCTCGTCCCATATCACCTGTCGGAGCTCATCTGCCCCTACACACCTGCCCGGCACCTCAGGTCTGCGGACCAGAGATTATTAGAAGTACCAAGAACTAAGTAGAGGCTCAGAGGGGATCGTGCCTTTTCCGTTGCGGGTGCCTCTCTCTGCAATGACCTCCCACTGAACATTCGGCAAGCCTCCTCGCTGCCCATCTTTAAAACCCGCCTCAAAACTCACTTGTATTCTTTGGCATTTCACTCAACATGACTCAGACTTGATCTTAGTTTTACTGTTTGGTGCTTTCTACCGTCCTTGTTCCTGATTTATTGCTTTATTGTTGTACATATGATAGTTGCTCCATGTACAGCATTTTGTCTGCAGCGATGGCTGCTTTAACGTGCTCTCTAAATACAGTTGAGTTGAGTTTTGTTTCTAGATCTGAATTTGAAACCCTGGTGGTGTTTGTGCCTGCTTGCGATACAGGCCTCGCTATGGAGGAACAGCTGTGTGAACTGACCCGCCTAGTGCTGATGCTTCCCGAGGTGGAGAGTCTTCTGCGGAAAGCGAACCTCTCTCTCCCGGTCACCGTGATGAAGCCCACTTCAGCCTTGGAGTTGTTTGTTGAGGTAACGTACACTCATCATTGATAGATGTGCTCTACTGTAGCTAAAGCAACCAGCATGTGTTTACATTTCAGGGGAAGGTTTTTTTTTTTGTTGTTGTTTTTTTGTTTTTTGTTTTTTTAAACCTCCTGCTGAGAACTGCAAGTCTCACACAAATAAGGCCGACACATTCGTCGAAATTCAAACTGGACCTTTTATGTACAATGCTGATACATGAGAGATGTATTCCGCATATGTCCCTGTGAATTTTTGCCCCACAGTCACGCAGCGCCTGGATGTAAAGGTTTCCAAACTCGCTTATCTGCTTCTCGCTTGTGTCAGGCTGTAGGCAGAGTCTATGGCACACTGCAGGTTTCTTCTGAGCGTTCAGCCATGGTGACCAGAGCTCTGGACTACGTGGGAGACGTCCTTAAATATATTAAACCCTCTTTGGTCAGCAAGAATCAGAAAGGAATTCAGCTGGCCTATTGGGCACTCGGTAAGAGTCACATGATACAATTCAGGAGTATGTTTGTGTATAGCGATGTCTCGACCTGCGGGGTCAGGAAACTGTCACATGTTTGTTTGCCTGTCTTTCTTGGACCTTGTGAGCCAGGCTGCGTCGTGAAGCACTGGAGCCCCCTGCTGGTCACATCCAAGGCGCAGCAGTTGCTCTTCCGCATTGTGGATCGGCTGCTCCTCCCTCAGAACCTCACTCAGCAAGACACAGCTCTCAGAAACAGCCTGCCACTCTATCTACAGGTTTGGGTCCAACGTGCACAAACCAAATCGCTATATAATCTGAAAAAACAACATCAGAAGAAAAGTTGGCATCCATGTACAGACATACTGTATATGCCTAAAGCTAAATGTATCAGAAAACTCTCACCGTCTTACTGTAACATTCAAGATATTTTTTGGGAGCAGAGAAAATGATGCCTGTACTAAAATCCCTGCAGGGTCTGTCGGTGGCTTCTAGTGTTGCCCCGTCGCAAGGAGCGTACCTGAAGCAGCAGCTCCACTCCATCATCCGTAGATATCTTGACCATTTCCTTCCCGCCTCAGCTTTGCTGGGCAGCATCGCCAATCATCCCGTGCTTCTCGGTGCATGCGAGCCCATCCCAAATGGCACCGGAGCCTCGCTGAGGATGACCATTCTGCAGGTCCTCTGGTCAGTCGACATGAAATCTGCTCTAAGTTTGAATTTCAACTCCCACGTCAGTTTGATACGGCTTGCCCAAATCTGCTCTAATTTACGTTGAAACGTTTTTTCCTGCTATTAGCGGGAGCTTCCTTCAGTTCCAAGGTCATTGTCCTCCACCTCGCCTTGCATCAGTCCTGTTTTTCCTGTTGGAACTTCTGAGACGCAACAGCGACTCAGACCCCGACCTCCTCGCTCTGCCACTTCCTGCTCTACTGCGCTGCTTGATGCTGGTCAATGACCCTCAGGGTGAGCTTCAGTTGGTTAGGGCTTGTTGACTGCTTCCAATATTTACACTACAGGTGCCTCTCAATCAATTAGATTATTGAGGGAAACAGTGTGGGGTTTCTCCCTCTGTGCTTGTGCGGTTTCTATTTCGGTCAATTTTGTTTATGTATGAGGTGATTTTATGATTTTTACGGTCATAACAGTTCTCTGGCGGACACCGTAAAAAAAAGGACTTTTGACACTTCTAGACAAATTATGCATTGATGTGATTGTAAGTGTGAATGGTTGTTTGCCTGTGTGCCCTGTGATTGGCTGGCAATCAGTGCGGGCTGTGCCGCGCCTCTCGCCCAAAGTTATCCGGATTGGCTCCAACTCAGCAAAAAACCATCAGGACAAGCGCCATAGAAAATGAATGGATGGATGGACATTTGTATTCATCTCGTTCAACTCAAAAGTGCCGCTCTCGTTATGTTGATTCACTACACACACAACGAAATATTTCATGATTTATTTTTATAAATTTGGGGAAGATGGTTTACGGTGAATGAAAACTACATATTCATCTCAAGAAATTACAAAGTTGCATCAACAATCAGAATGCTTTTTTCATATAAGATATTGGCAGCAATTGGCCTCTCGAAAAAGTATACATTCTAAAGAAAAAACAATGGCTTTCACTTTTTGAATTAAACGATTGAAACATGAACTTCACTCTATGTTTAATCTATCAATTTGCTGTCAAGATGTATTCATTTCTCACTCAACTGGAATTCATTTTTCGGTGACATCCCATGCTTGATATTTTTGTGCAGTGAGGAAGACAAGCACGGATGCAGTACAACTTGTGGTCGAGCGATGTGCTGCAGTGTGTGTACAAGGACCGTGTGAGCAGCTGTTGTCGGTCTTAAGGTAACCGTTATTAATGTGTTGCAGTAAGTAGGCTTGGCTTACATTTCATGATTTTACCGTTTTTCTCTTTTATGTTCCAAGGTCATTTGTGGCCGAGAATGAGAGAGTCTATGACAGGCAGATTTACACCGTTCTCGAGACGGTGGCTGTTTTAGATCCCCCTGTTGTTGAAGCCCTTATTCCCACCCTGTCTCTTGCTCTGAGAAACAACGAACACAAGAAAGGACTGGGCAAGAACGCCACCTTAAGGTGAGCAAGCGCACATATCCACTGCATTGTTGTTGCTTGATTTGACAAGTTCACCTTTTTGTTTAAAACAGAAGTGCTTACAAGAAACTGCTGTGTCTTCTTGGGGAGAGTGGGCAGGCAGAAATCTCAAGTTTGGAAGCAGACTAAAGTGCCAAGACCTAAAATCAGCTCGTAGCATCTTCTCCTGTCATAATATTCTTTGTTGCCAAATGTTTTTCTTTTACCAACCCAAATGTTCAGTTTTTAAAAAAACAAAAAACAAAAACAAAAAAAACCCAACTTCCATGCAATTGTATTTTGTTTGGCACAAACATATTGAGTCAATGCTGGATTAACTAAAATTTGACTTGAATGTTTTTTTTTTCAACCAGGTCGACACAGTAGCATGATGTACCCTTCCATGATTGATGTCCAATACATCAACTGTTAAAAAAAATACTACAGTAATAATTTTGATTGATCATGTTAGATAGGTATTTTAAAAAAGAGATGTGCAATTGTGTAATCACTATAGTACTGAAGACTACAGCATTGATACTGGTTGTTTTTGCATGTTGTACAGTGTATTATACTGTATATATTGTAAAGAAGTTATTGACTTGAATTTGTACAAGCATATCATTTGCATTTAAATATGCAATTCAGATTTTGGATGTATTCTACTCGGATTATGTGAAGTGATCACAGTTAGGTGCTGGATCTCTCTAGTGGGTCGCAAGCTTAGAGTTCCCAATTGTGAGGGAAAATGATGTGTAAAGGCTCAAATATTTTACAGTTTGTCTGATTGCAAGCCATTTCTTGAAGTGTGACTTAAGTTTGCTCCGAATCACAAAGACTTGCTCCTGTGCGCCACAATCAACAAGCCTCTTTTTCGGTCATTTTCCTGCTTCACTGTATTGTTTTTCCTTCTCACATCGGTGACATTCTGTTGGACAACTTCAACCTTCACTCTCAGTGGTGGCTGTAGAATTCATGCATTGCCTCAATTTGCTCTTCACTTACCTCTTGCTGATCAATGATCAGGGAGCTTAATCCCTCATTTTCTATGGATGCTCCAGCTAGAACAATAATACAGTAGATAAATCACACCTAATACACAAGTCATTTATTTTGGAAAGTCGATATACACTATTCACTCAAAGACTGACGAGGGAATTGCAGCACCACACTGAATTATTTTGGTAGAAACTGCTTTGAAAATCAGCATGATAAATAGTCATCTATGCATTGATGTACCGATAATGATAAGCAAACATTTTATTTCACAATAAACACGTCTTGAACATGTTATGGATCTCTGTCATGACAGAGGGTGATATGTATGTACACTGCCAAAGTGTGTTTCATTCAAGGTTTGAAAAAAAAAAACAAATCTTGCCGTTAAAGTTTACTGACATGATACAGAGTGAATAATGAAATGGGTTAAAGTATTTACGTTCCGGGGTTTGCATTTAGTGTCTGCACATAATGATTTACACATTAATTAATTATTATTATTATTATTATTAATTTTTTAATGACTAGACACCAGGATGGCTGGTTTGCATTTCAGGGAAACACAATGGGTGTGGGATAGTACAGCAGCAAGTCTTGTCAGGAGAGTTAATCTCGTGTGAATACGAGTAAATTCTATCTTAATTTTTTTTCCTTTCAAATCACATTTTCAAATACTGACTGTCAAATGTATGGTTGTTTATCAGTCCTGCATTTGCTGAGTTTCAAACGGAAGCAATCCTGTGTTGGGGTACTTGGAGTGTCTGAAGGTTAGGGCATGTGAAATATGGAGCAGGGAGGAAACAAGTTGCTATCCCATTTGAGCCAAACGGCAACGTTGGCCCATAGAAAACTTCCTCTTTTCCCACCCGACTCAGATCCAGCACCTGAAACAGGACGTAAAAAAAGGTTGGTCCTGGGTCTTAAAACCTCAAACTCTTGTATTGTCAATGTGTAAATATGTCAATGCCATAATGTCCCCCCACAAAAACAAACACACACACACACACACTTTTCTCTCTCTCTCTCTTTCTCTCTGCCAGACACCATGCACATGCCATCTTGCACCTTGGTGGCTGTGTCAAGGAAAAGAGATGAAAAGTTTCAAATGTTAGAAATCCTCCCTCACCTGAATGCATGCCAAAGGCTCATTGGTCCAAATCGAGTACCCTCCAACCACATAGATCCTGTCATCGTGGACCGCTACTCCAGATTCATTCTGACCTGAGAAGGAGAAGAGCTTCAAATAGCCAAGCTGAGGACACTCCGAAAGTTTTAACTCCCACACAAGGTTTCAGCCAAAGTTAAACAGAAAGACAGGGCACACATTGGCGGAGGTGTTTGTAAAACCCAAACCCACACTTTGCCAGACATAACATTGAGAACACCTGCCATGTACTATACTGTTAAAGCTCAGGAAAAAAGAAAATGTGGGGGCAGAGAAAGGGAATGAACCAATCGAAACTTTCAAGCATTGGAAAAGACAACGAAATAAAGTAGAAAGAATGTTTTATACTGTATTGTATGACACTCAAGCTGTTGCTGGATCACGTGCTCTTGATGAAAATCAATTTGTTGCCATCTAAACATGACTGAGGTATATTTCAATCTCAATCGTAACAAAAAGACAGTGCCGCAGTAGATGTTGATGAGAGAATTATTATCCAATGAGTTTCAAATTCTAGTGAGCTAAGGGTGCCAACTGTGTGCTTACAGCACATCCAGTAAGTCAGGGGTAACTAATGCCGCATGTGAGGACTAGTATTGGGATGAATTTGATTTGATTATGTATTCATTTATTTGACACCGTCTTGTTTTACTGTATTTGCTTTTATATTAGCTCCACAATTTATAGGCATTTATGCCCAGTCATCTCTTTCTGTCCCGTGGCTCAATGTGTTTGTCTGATATTGAAAATATTATTCCTAAAGGGACAACCTGAAGGATGAATGCAAACTGGGAAACTAAAAAAATGAATTGCCCCTTGTTGGATAAATAAAGTTGTCTCAATCTGAATTTAAATAAGTGCTTGGTCGTGTGTAAAACAAACAAACAAAAATAATAATGATTTATTTTAATTACATTCAAAGTGTTTGAAACAAAAAACAAAGAGCTTGCTACTCTTGGCCATGGGCGTCACCAGCGATGAGCTGTGCCCAAGAATCAGGCATGGACTGGCTGGTATGGCCCGAGTGGGGGGAAAAAAATAAAACATATTTGCTGGGCAGTTGTTAATATGTCGAAGCAACCACCCACTGTGTTTTCCTCTATTGAATAATTTGCGACCTGCTCTCAATAGACATTCGCTCCCTTTCACCTCCCATGCCGGGCTGGTTGTATGTCCAGCGACGTTGGCAGATGGCCCCCACCTCTGACAGACGGCTTAAATTGGTCTATATCGACATCACAACTCCCATTGCAAAGTCATTGCAAAGACAAATTGGGCATCTGAGAGCCCCCCTACTAGCTGGCTTGTTGAAAGTACGTGAAGCAAATTTATTAATCAGGGCATGCAGAAAGAACACGAAAACCCCCAAGAGGATGAATAAAAGAACAACGCGATGGTGGTAAGTGTTTCATATGTTACATAAAAAAGTAGTACCACCAGTTTGTCCAAGTCTCACAATGTTGACTGCACATTATTAGTTCACATATAACATTGCAAAACCTGATCACAACCCCATTTTTTTCTGTCAGCTTGGTCTGTCCAAAGTGGTGTTATCGGTAATTTGTGTTTGGAAACAAAAGATGTACAAACCTCCTGGAATTTTCTGGTCAAGGCTAATGTTACATTAAAAAAAAATGTTAATGTAAAGAATTGGTACTGCATTAGGGACAATTCAGAGTGTTCAATCAGCCTACCATGCATGTTTTTTTGGGGAATGTGGGAGGAAACCGGAGTACCCAGAGAAAACCCACACAGGCCTGGGGAGAACATGCAAACTCCACACAGGGAGGCTGGAGCTGGAATCAAACCCGGTACCTCTGCACTGTGAGATCGACACGCTAACCACTGGACTACCGGGCTGCACGTGTATTCTCCATTACAGAATTTTTTTTATGATTTGAAAAATATATATCGCTGTGTGTCACAATACCGAGTGGCCTGCAGACCACTGGAGTAGGGACCGTGCCTCAGTCGAGTGTTATGCCTAGCAACGCCACTGCTCTTGGCTCAGGTCTCACACTGATAATGAGTCGTGTTTATTTTTGTGTCGGGTGTGTTTTGTTCAGTATTATAGGCAGAATTTTTAGATATTATTGCATAGAAACATGCATTCAGATGCAAAACAAAAGATTGTGCCTCCCCATTAAATGTACATAAGAGATATTGAAATATCTGTTGACGATTGTGGCTTGCAGTGGTGTAAAGCTGCATAAATATTATTTGCATCTCATGCTAAAAAATGAGGTAATCCAATTAGTGTATTCATAATTATTTTGTATTACTGCACACCACATTCAGAATATTATTAAATTAATACAATTACTCATTGACCATTTTACATAATTAAAGCAGAGGTGGCGCGTTTCACACAGCTCTTGTGTGGGAGGTGAAAGCTAGTTTGAGTAAAGACTGACGCAGGCCTTGTCTAACATCAGCAGTAAATGCTCTGCATTCCACTCCACTCCTTGTGTCTGTTGTTGTGGGCGTTCTCCACTTTCCCCACCTGTGAGGAGGCTGAAGGAGCAGCGGGTCCACTGGTCCATGTCCAGATTGTAGGAGTCGATGTGGCGCACCAGAACTCGGTCGTTATTGTAGTCCAGGTCATTCCCACCAAGCACGTAAAGCTTCCTTCTCACCGCAGCCATCACGTGGTAGACACGCCTCTGCAACATTGGACTGCGTGCTAACCACTGGTCCTAAAGAAGAGGAGGACGTGGAGAGTGAATGAAGGGAAGTGAGGAGAAGGAAAGTGATGGGAAGGAGGCATGGTGGACGAATAAAATTAATATACAGGCATACAATCCTGTGAAATTGCCCCCTTCTTGATTTTTGTGTTCTTTGCATATTTATCACACACAAAGATTTCATTTCATCAAATCAATTTTAATATCACACAAAGACAACCCAAAGAAACACAAAATGCAGTTTCTAAATGCCAATTTAATGTATAATGTAAAATCCAAACCTACCTGTCCCTATGCGTAAAAGTAATAGCCCCCTGAACCTAATAATGGGTTGTGCCACCCTGGCAGCAATAAGTGTCATCAAGCTTTAGGGATAATTTGTGATGAGTATTTCACATCACTGTGGAGGAATTTTGGCCCACTCGTCTTGCCAGAATTGTTTCAAATCCGCCATATTGAAGGTTTTTCTAGAATGAACTTCCCGGTCAAGGTCACACCACAGCATTTCAATTGGATTCAAATCTGCTCTTTGACTTGTCCACTCCAAAACATGATATATTTTTTAATTTTTTTATTTTTTCAGCCATTCAAATGGTGTTTCGGATCATTGTCCCACTGCATGATCCAAGACCACTTGAGTTTGAGGGTGCAAACTTCTTGTCGGACGTTCTCCCTCAGGACTTTATGGCAGAAAGCAGAATTCATTGTCCCACCAATCACAGCAAGTTGTCCTGGTCCTGAGTGAGCAAAGCAGCCACAGACCATCACACTGCCATTATCAAGCTTCGCTGTTGGCATAACGTTTTTCTTGTTTTTTTTATCAAATGCTGTGCCATTTTTACCCCAGATGTAACAGGCCGTACATCTTCCAAGAAGATCAATTTTTGTCTCATCAGTCCACAGAATGTTTTTCCAAAACTCTTGAGGATAATCAAGATGTCATTTGGCAAATGTGGGATGATCCTTTGCGTTCTTTTTGGACAGCAGTGTTTTTTGGCTGGGAAATTTCCAATTGTATTACATTTTTGGCCAGTGTCTTTCTTATGCTAGAGTCGTGAACGCTGACCTGAACTGAGGCCAGCGAGGTCTGGAGTTCTTTGTGTGTTGTTATCGGTTCTGGGTGCTTTTGCAACCTCCTGGATGAGTCATCGTCGCACTCTTGGAGTAATTTTAGCTGGTCGACTTCTCCTGGGACTTTTTTTCAAATTTCTTCTCCAATTTCTTTGGATCGTGGCATGATGCGTTTGTTTATTGAGATCTTATAGCCTACTTCACTTTGTCTGACTGATTCTATTTATGTGATTTCTTGATTCAACAATTGTGGTGCTAGAGTGTTGCATGTGAAAATGAACTCAGCTGAGCAGTTAGTCACACATACTTTGTGATTTAACGAGTAGGGGGGCAATTACTTTTTCACATAAGGACAGGAAGTTTTGGACTTTTTTTGTGCCTTAATAAATTAAATTGGCATTTTGAAACTGTGTTTTGTATTTTCTTGGGTAGTTGTGTGATATTAAAATCGGTTTGATGAACTGTAACCTTTGTACTTAATAAATATGCAAAGAACAAAGAAATCAGGAAGGGGGCAAATACTATCTCACAGCACTATACTGTACAGTTTGAATTGGGGATGATGTCTGCTCAGGTTACTAGATAAATAATGTGGCACTGAAGGTCCGCTTTGTACTAATCACTTCCCTCCGTATTTCTAATCGCACATTTTAGCCATTCCATTTTGGACAGTCCCTGCTCATTTCACTAAGTGTATTGAAGCTGATTTTGTGAGAGAGGAGAGAACGAGCGAGCGAGAGAAAGAGAGAGGGCTTGATTGAGGCAAAAAAAGTGTGTGCGCCTGTGTGTGTGTGTGTGTGTGTGTGTGTGTGTGTGTGTGTGTGTGTGTGTGTGTGTGTGTGTGTGTGTGTGTGTTGACATGTGGCCATCTGTTGTGGGTACAGTGGGGGGCGGGGGGCTGCTGTCGCTCTGGCAGGTGAATGTAGATTGGTGGTGAATACAAATGAGCCTCTCTCGTGCCTCCCTCCCTTGCTTCCCGGCCAACATGAACAAACATAGGCCCATATGGATGTGTGCCTCACTTGTAAACATGGCGCATACCACCACATTATGTGCAGCCTTAGAAAGATGCAGAGGCCTTGTTAACAGCTGGCTCATATGCATACACAAACACACACTGGATCGCACTACATTCCATTGTAATTGGCTGCGTGTGACAATTGGATGTAAAATTATTTTTGACTGAACTGCAGTTTTATTTCATAGGGCAGTCACTTTCAACCACTGTGCTTGTGAGATCACCAGCTGCGCTCCTACTACGATTACTACTACCTGTACTACTGTTATGACTATTCCTACAACAACAACAACTAATAATAATAATAATATATTGGAAAAAATTCTCTGTATGATGTATGCACTCCACAGCCAATGACAATCACAAGAATAATCAACTACAGTAATATCAAATGAATACTTCTCTGACAAAACTGAGCATTATTGTCTTAATATTGGCCACATTTTCCATAACACCTCTTGTCAAAATGGAATCATAGCCCATATAAGAGAGGCAGAACAACAATCAGTGAGTCTTTTTTTGGCATCAAATCAACTGTAAATTTTGTGAACCTGGTCAAATGTGCTCTCTCTCCTGCTCGTGTGATATTTTCCTTTTCGTCATACAAAAGGGAAATTGCATTAGAAACATTGTTTGTTGAAGCATTGCTTCTTGGCCAAAGCCTGTTTACCTTTTAAATGATGGCACATTTGGAAGTAATAAGCATTTGTGGGACGTGGTGTGCGCCCATGAAAAAATTTACAAATGTTCTCAAACAGCTTGTTTTGCTATTGCCAGTGAGGCTTCTTTTGTGCTTTTGCTGCTGTCTCCAACATGTGCACTGAAACCTGAATGCGAACAAATGTTATGTTCAGCAGTGAGTCCAAATCCTGCCTACGGCAGTTGGATCGTGGGGGTCAAAGTGTAGAGAAGACTTCGAGAACTGATTGCCGCACTGACTGAATAACATCTTTCGGTGAAGGCAGTGTGATGGTGTGAAGCGGACTCTCCCTCACTGGAAAAACAATGATCACCATCATTTAAGGCTATCTTAATGCAGCGATATCCAATGAGTTTTGTCAACCGGCCTGCAATTCCACAGTATGGAACCATATTCAGTCCTCCAATAGGACAATGCTCGTCCCACAGAACAGGGTTTATCAAACACTACCACCACAATTTGGGAGGGAGAGGATGGAATGGCCCACCAGCAGTCCTAACATCAACCCCATTGAACCTTTGTGGTATCAGCCAGAGTGTGCTGTTTGTGCGTGAATGACAACCACAACCATGTTGATGTTGAGTTACAAGAAATGCGGGTTGAAGAAAGGCACACCAACCAACAACAGTGTTTAACCAACATGAGGAGCAGGTGTCAGATTGGCTGTGTATGATTCTTCCATATGCTACTGAGGATACTGATTGTTGCGATGAATGAATGGTAAAATTGCCAATGTTTTTTTTCATTTTTTTTTTCATTCAATCCATCAAGAAAAGTCAATACCAACAACAAACTAAGCTGTTTGGCATTGTCAGAGAAGATTTGGGAAGATTTTCCTGGGTGCAACCCTAATACTCACCTTTGCTGCTCATCTCACAAATGCATGTTTCATACAAATATGGCACCATTTGAAAGTGTAATAAAAAGGCTTTCCAACATTATAAGACTTGCCAAGAAGCATTATTACAACAAAGAAACTATCTACCGAACATGAGTGTATTTGCGCTCTGTTCATATTGATAATACGAGCGAAATACTTTTATGTACGTTTAATTGATCGCTGGCTAATTTAGCTTTTGAATGAGAGTAAAGAGGCACAGTTCTGTAAGACTGTTCTTCTTAAACTTCACAAGCACAGTTATTTACAAGGTTGGAGCCATTGCCATCTCAAGGGCAACATTAAGGAGATTATATGAAGTTGATGTCTTGATTTGTTGCAACTGTTTGGATTGAAATGAGCAAGAAAAACTGTATCCCACAGCATCTTCTTCCACCATTGTGACAGTAGCAAATGGTTACCTGTTCCGGCTCATACACCATCAGTCGATTCTGGTACTGAGCTGTGTTTGTCACCCCACCTGGGAAACAAAATAAGTAACACGTTTGTCAATAGTAAATGATACAAGGGACAGTGTTTTTGCATGCACTGTACTGTATCTGTACTAAAGTAAAAGGGCATGTGAATTGTCCTCTTTACAGGGGCCATATCATGCTAAACAAGGTTGTTTTTCATAGTTTAGCCATTTAAAAATGCTAATCACTCAACAAAAAAAAAACCACCTACAAATTGGTGTTTTCCTCTATTCATTCATGTCGGAGCATTCCTGCTTATTCCTGCTCTCTAAACCACCAGCCCCTAGCAATCAAAGACAACGAGTGGCTCCTCACTTTTCTACATCACAAAGTACGGAGCCACCCCAATACCACCCCCTGCAGACCAAACACACAGCCACTCTCTCCAAAGAGGCACCTGTGAAACACTTTCATTTTTGCACTGGAGCCGGGGAGAAGGTCCTTTCACACAACAGGCCCCCTTTCAATTAAGTGAGAGGTCTCTAGCCGCCTGAGGGATGGCGGCTACGGGCAGCCGCCGGGTGGCTTCGGACACCACGCGGCGACTCGGAGGGGCGACCAAATGAGTGACAGCGAGCTCGAAGTGGTGTGGGGTGTGTGGGGCAGTTTCGGACTACAGTGATCCCTCGCTACTTTGCGGTTCGTTTATCGCGGGTTCAGTGCATCGCGGATTTTTTCAAACATATAAAAAAAATATATTTTTTTATTTATGTTTTTTTTTTTTAATATACATGGAGTACAGTACTGTATATGTTGCTCTATGTGACTTGCTGTTGTTTTGCAGCTTCTCGCGGACCGTTTGCGGACTTAAAAAAAAAAAAAAACTTTTTTTTTTTTTTTTTTACCTGTTTGTTAATTGGACGCTACTTCGCCGATTTTCGCTTATCGTGGGTGGTTTTGGTCCCCATTAACCGCGATAAACGAGGGATTACTGTAATGGAAAAGCAGCACTAGTCTGCCTGATGATAGATAACAACTGGTCATTCCAGTTTTGTGGGTGGTGCGCACAGCACCCAGCTTTAGGACAATCTCATGAAAAGGGTGCGACAGCCACCAGGGCAGAGGCGGGGTTTTAGTGAACCAGGCGTCTTACTTCCGGGTTAGAAAAATAACCACTGAAATACTGTCACTCAATATTTCATAAGAAATTAGATTGCCATTGTGCCAAAGCTAATATATAATCATGCATATGCTATAGTTATAGAAATATAGTTTTGGAAAGCTGAAAAATATAGCATGATATGGCACCTTTAAATTCCCAAGCAAACATGGAGAGAAAACACGGCATTGATCTGCGATAATAACTTCATAATGGGATGGTATTGTATGAAATTTTAGAGTATGTCGAAGGGATTCTGACTGTACATTTATCCAGAGGCTCATCATAAACTCACCCAACTATGCCTTGATTGATTTTACTTGTTTCACTGTGGTGCAAAACAGAGCTTTCCATTGGTCTTGTCACAAAAGTGTTGGTAATATTAGGATTATTTTTGGATCAATTGTTTGACTGGGAGAGTGTGTCTTAATACTTTTGTCAACAAATCATAATATACATGTAATGTTGTGCATCGCCATTGGTATTTACCTGAGACCCAGAGCAGGTTTTCAGCCACACAGCCTGCGTGGCATGAAAGCGATCGGTCGAAAGGCTGCACATACATCCACTTATTCTTCTTCGGACAGTAGCGCTCTACTGAGGGAAGCACCTGCCTCAGCTCGTTCCTGCCACCCACTGCGTACAGGTACTGACCCAAAGCTCCCAGTACAAAATGTTCTCTACAAGCCTTCATGGAGGCTATCTCAGTCCAGCGGTTTGTCCTGGGGTCATATCGACAAGCGGTTCTAACTGCACATGTCCTCCCACTGGTGTGCTCCATCTCCCCCCCCACAACAAAGAGAAAGTTCCCCATTACAGACACACAGTGGTGGCTGCGCCCAGTAGGCATGGGTGCCAACTCGCTCCAATTCGAGCCCCCTGCCACACGGACGTGCTCCTGCCCAGCCGGATTGAAATAACGTAGCTCCCGGACTCTGCACACCTCACGCTTTCTTCCCCCGGCTATGTAGAGGGTGAGTGACTGGAAACGAGGCCTGGTGCGGGCTGACTGGTGAAGGGGCTGTGCAAAGGTGCTATGGTGATAGTCCAGGGCTTCATCTATCAGAGCAGCAACAGTGGAACTGGACTGCACCAGGGGGTGGCTACAGGCTAGGTGGTGCAGAGTTGAGACGTCCATCAGGCCATAGCGGATATGTTGCAGAAGATCCTCAGTGTACTGGTACCGGCAGTCGTGTTCCAACCACATGACAACAAACTAAAAAGGATAACACAAAAAGCGTGATGAAGTCTCTAATGATATGTAACAATTTAGACACAATTATTAAGCAAAAACCAAAGTAAAATGTAACTCATCTATTTTTTTAAATTAACATTAGGATCAGCTATATTGCCATTTGTTGCTGGCTGTTGTATAACTTATAACAATAGTATACATAGAGAAGAGGCATACAACTGCATGAGCATAACGAGCGACACAACAATGGATGTTCATGCAAACACAATAAATCCTCAGCAGCTTGTACAAAACCTCACCCAGTCACTTGATATCTCCCTGCAACAGGCTGCTTGACTACCTCACAGGAAGACCGCAAAACAGGCGAGTTGGCAGGAACTTCTCTTGACCCATACCATAGAGCACAGTGCTCCCACAAGGGTGTGTGCTCAGCCCACTGCTCTTTATGCTACCAACCCATGATTGTGTTTCAACCTACCGCACCAATCACAAAAGTTTGCTGACGGCACGGTGGTGGTGAGCCTCATTACCAATAATGGTGAGGTCAACTAGATGAAGGAGATGAGCCAACTGGTCCCAGTGGTGCAAAAACAAAAACCTATTCCTTAATATAGGGACAACTTAAGAGATGGCTGTAGACTTCAGGGGACGTCATTCACAGCAGCTCACCCCTCATGACTATTGATGATGTTGCTATTGAGAGAGTGAGCAGCACCAAGTTCCTGGGAAGGGGCCTGGGGGATAACAGCCGTCCCATGCCCCCCCCCCCTCCTCCCAGCAGTGCACGTCATGCGGCCATTCCATGTTCCCCGTCACATCAAGCCCCATACACATCAGGCCGAGCCACGTCCATGTCAGGCCGAGCCCCGTCCACATCAGGCCCAGCCATTGGGTGAATGTTGGGACTTTAGGGATCAGTCCCTTGAGGGTGGGGTACTGTCATGGATCTGTTTGTGACCAACAGATGGCACTGTAGGACTCCTCCTGCACACCTGTTGTTCATTGTGTCATTAGTTTTCTGTTAAAAGGACTCCGTGTCCGACCAGTCAGTGTCGGGTCATTGCTTGTGTGTTGGTGTGTACGTCACTGTCATGGATTTGTGTTTGTATTTCTGTCACGACATGTTTTTTGCTTATGCCATGAGTTTTTGTTTGTCTTGGATTAAATTTTTCGAGTGGTTTTTGAAATTTAATACATTTTGTTGAGTCCACACTGCCTCGCTTGGGTCCTCCATCACTGCTCACGAACCATGACAATAGCAATCAGATTGGATACAAAGTATGTACGGTATAATAGCCATGACATGGCTGTAATCTTGCTTTTTTCCGATTATACTATGTATACAGATGTATTGTATTGTATGGCAGTGTTTTTCAACCCGTGTCTCACGTGACCAGTGTGCCGCGAGAAAATATCCAATTTGTATGCCTGTGCGGCCTTTCGCCCAGAAAGTAATCGTGTAGTACCCTCCCACACCGCTAGGGAGCAGCAACAGCTAGCCAATTGCCATGTGTTTCGACGAGAGACAAGCGAATTTGTGACGCATGAATGCAGGACAGGACGACGGTGAAACAAGAAATATGAAAGATTATAAAATACTGTTTCCTTTGTGTTCATTTGATTACAATTCAAGCTGTTATAACGTCATTCTTAAATGTTTAAAACGGTTATAGTAACAATATAACACGTTATATTGGGGGAGGGGGGGTTCACATTTTCAGCTAGTGGTGTGCCGCGGGATTTTTTTCAATGAAAGAAGTGTGCCTTGGCTCAAAAAAGTTTGAAAAACACTGTTGTATGGTATAGAAACAAATATTTTGGTACAAATACGTCTTAAAAAATACTCTTCTGGTTCAAGCAAAATGTACTGCACAATTTGGTCTCAGTTGATATCCATTGCAAAATTATTGCAATGGTAAAATATAAGATACGCTAGAACATCAGTGTGAATGACTCTAGCGCCCACGAAATACAGATACAGTAATTAATTATTAGTCCTTTAGTGGGGAACTTCAAAACAGCATCAAGGCATAAACAAAAACAGTAAAAGAAGGCGAACACACTGATTACCAAATAAGAAAGAGCAGGGGGGGGATTCGAAGCGAAGAAACAATGGAGGACTTCTAATCCTAATTATTTTTTAGGATACCTACAGGATATTATGAAAAACTCAGTCAAACCAACACAACATCCCAAAGTCAAGACTGTAAACATCCACGGGCACCCTCGTTTGTTTCATGCGGGTAAACTGGGTAATTGAACTTAAGAGCTGTGGAAGGTTATTTAGTTGCTGTGAGGTATGGATGTGGGCAAGACGTCTGGGGATTACTGATTTCATTTTCACGTAATACAAAGTGATTTTACTGTGAAGACAACTCAGTAGACTATTGTTATATGCAATATAAGTCACAATTGCGTCGCTCTGGAGATGAAATGGGAAACCTTGTGCTGGGTGCGGGCATAAATCATAATTATCTTGGCCTTAGCTTTGCTCTTCTTTCAAACGTCACTTAAAAGTGGAAAACTGAAACAAAACGCTCAAGTGAGGATTCCATCATTTTGCGGTGACTGCACTGTCTTTGCCGTCGCTCACTCTGCTTTTCTCCTCTTCACAGCGCTGAAGTGACAGCATGCGTGCTGGTGTGTGTGTGTGTGTGTGTGTGTGTGTGTGTGTGTGTGTGTGTGTGTGTGTGTGTGTGTGTGTGTGTGTGTGTGTGTGGGTGTGTGGTGTGTGTGTGTGTTTGGATGGCGGCAGCTTACTGTGAAGGTCACGCTGCATCACACAACTTCCTCGGGGCACAGAATAAATCAACTCCTTCCGCTCCACGCTGAAAGAGCAACTGCAAGTGTGTTTGTGTGTGTGCGTGTGTGTGTGTGTGTGTGTGTGTGTGTGTGTGTGTGTGTGTTTGTATGAGCGTGTATAAAAAGGGTAAAGTGAGGGACAGAGATAGTGAGGGAGAAAGGGGAGGGATGGGGGTTAGCTACATGAAGGCAGAGCAAAGGATGGCAAGACAGAAGAGGGGGGAACAAAGCCAGAGAAAATGTGATTTTCCGAGCGTGAGACTCTCCGAGAAAACTCACGGTGACAATGATTGACAGCTGAGCTATATCGGTCCGATATTGGTGTGCACACCCCCCCGACAATTTCGGACGATGGCCCTCTCTTCCTGTCCGCTTCCGTCTGATGCTCAAATTAACCTTCTGGGCGCAGTGAAGGAGGCCTAAAGCAGCCTAATCAGAGACTGATTATGGCGGCGGCGGCTGGTTAAGGGGTCAGCGTAATTGTGCCATCAGAGGCCTGATTGTTTTCAATCAGACGAGCGGGCGACTGACAGCTAGGGGATTGGGGCCCTGATGGAGGCGCGGAGGGCCTAATCAGAAAAGAGAAGGGGAGAAAGAGAGAAAGGGAGTGAGAGCGGAGGAAGGCGGGAGGGCACATGGGGGGAGGCTGATTGGCGCAAATGAACAGTCAAAATGGCAAGTCCTCACACCGCACAACCGCCTCACGCCACCGTCTACGCACACACCTTGACACTTCATCAGACAGGCACACAAGCCAAGCTCGCTTGCTTCCACGCGTGCATGAATGAATGGCAATCAATCACATACACATTCAGAAAAAATACCACTGTGATTGCAGGTCAACACAAACAAACATTAAATGAGATGCAGATGGAAGTGTTTAATTTGTTCCGTTAGCAGTGCGTTTTTCCTTCTATTGTATCCCTCAATTCCAGTTGTGTATTTTCTAGTTGTGCGCCAAGATACAATTCGCTTTAAGTTAAAGACTGTGACATTGGTATACATTTTTATGCCTCATTGACGCAGCTTCATCAAGTGAATGAGAATGTGACCAGGTGATTCCCTTCAACGTCATTGTGGTATTGGGAGTGAAGGAGTTTAATCCTTCATTTCTATTGTCAATCACCGTACATCATCTTTGGGCCTTTATCGGTAGACTCTTATACACCCCATCCAAATGTATTAGAACACTAAGGCCAACGCCTTTATTTTTGCTGTCGACCAAAAAGATTTTGGAACAAAAATGTAGATGAGAAAAGAGATCGAAAATTGAGTTTCATTTCCATGTGTTTCTATCTGAATCTGATTCACATCTTAGGAGACCACATTTTCAGGTGTACAAGATGACTGCAAAAGATATTTAAAAGACACATTTTTAAAAGTAACATGACCTTCCAAACCCAACAGTGTGGTCTGAAGAGGTCTACACCCAAGGACTCTTTGATGGGGAGCCAAGGGGGCCCCAGAAAAAAAAAAACTTTGTGTATATTCTTCTGTAGAAATTGACAAAATACAACCTAGCTTATTCTTTGGCAATTACATAATAATGTCCAGTAAGATTTCAACACTCATATGATATGAATATAACTCGGGCAGCCGGTGACAAATATAATCGACTCAAATCCAACTGTGGTGTGGGAGCTCACTCTGCCCTGCCCTCGGTGAAAGGTGAAACTAGCGGTAGACTGGACTGAGAACTGCCAGTCTCTGAGCCAATAGGACTCTATCTCTCGTCACGCAGCAGGTTCTACAATAAGGTCAAAATGGCACTATCAGAGTTATCTGGAGTAGTGACAGCAGAGGAGGTGGTTAAGTTGCCGCTGGTGATGGGCTGAGCAGTCCGGAGCAGATTGAAAGCACGACTGTCATCTAAAAGTGATTTCAAGCAATGGGTGCAAAGACTTTTGCATATTGGTCGTGTTTCATTCAACCTTAGAAGAAATATTAATACAATTTGCAAGCTGTCCTGCGGTTACCCTTCCTTGTAAAACATAAACAAACTTACGAGCGTTTGGTGCCATGTTTATGACTAGCCACATTAATAAATTACGTCGCTACACAACGTGCATGGTGACGTCATTCATCCCGACTGGAACTGATGAGTGAATTGTTTGCAAAAACGGCAAGGAATTCAAACCCTGGGAACCAGCTCTCAACAAGAACTGGTTTTCAATTCTCATCCCTAACCCAGCCAAGGCAGCCTGGATAGGTTGAAGCTCACCTGTGACACTGGTGAGGAGAAGCGGTATTGAAAATGGATGGATAATGGATGTATTGAACAAGTCTTAATATTTATATGAAAATCCTTTTCTTGAAATATATTGCAAACTTTTGCATTTTTCACCAAGGCCACTTTAAGTTGCTGTTTGTTTTGGCAGGGGTTATTGCATTCCTTCTCTTTTTGCAGGTAAAATGCATGCTTTGTATAACTTTGGAGATTGACTGTCTAGAACTTTCCAGTTCCTCCTCCTAATTAACAAACTCCTTTGTTGTTTTGGAGTATAATCGTGCTGCATAGTGAAATCTTTCTTTAAATTGGCAGACATTTTTCCCCCCATTTATTTTGCTTTTGTCATCATCTGTTTGATTACCCCAGCAGAAGCCACGCAAGACAAAGCCTTAATATCAGGTCCACATTTTTTTTTTTTTTTTTTTTTTTTACAGATTGGACATGTGAGCAGATCAAGGTTTTAGTGTTTCCGGGGCTTTGGAAATATTTCATCTTTGTCTCATGAAATATTGTCTTAGATTTTTGACAAATTCCAGTCAAGCCCTCATATTCTTCTTGCTAAGATGTTGTTTGCATCATCAAGTCAAGCATCTGTTCCATTGGTCAAGAAGTCTTCTGCGAACAGTATGAGTATGTTACCCTTTAGTGCTCTGGAGGTTGTTGCTGATGTCACTGACAGTTGTTTGACACAACGAATGTGTATGTTATAAAGGTAGTTCGTTGTAGCCATTTCCAATAAAATGGCCACTATGTATGATACAGAATGAACATTCATAGATGTAATACAGTATAAACATGTCAAATACAAATAAGTGTATACAGTATGGAGAAAAAAAGATTTTATAAGACATGAAAAAAGCAATTTTAGCGTTCCTAATACATCTCGGAAAACATTCAGTCAGCAAATGAAATCTGAGGTTCAGGATATGCTGCGCCCCAAAGCCATTTTCGATCATTTTTCAATCTGTTGGCCTCAAACTCTGCCATGATTTTCTTGCCATGATTGTCGAAATCGTTGACTTTGCCAATTCGTAGTCTCGCAGTCTCTGAGCATTGTTGAGGAGACTCCTTTTTGAAAGTGAGAGACAATATCAGCCTTCACGGACAGCAAGATTTGCTTCCAATTACCAGACAAGCTTTCAGACCATGTGCTCAGGACTGCGCCTTGCTTTCGGAAGTACAGTCAAACCTCGGTTTTTGAATGTCTCTGTTCTCGACCAAATTGGTTTTCGACCAGAAAATTCGAGATTTTTACGCCTCTTTTATCTTTTTCGACCAAACTGAGCACACCTGAATACTCGACTTGACTCCTCTCAGCTTCCTTACACGAGGAAGTGATGCTTCCTCATGTAGCGTTCATTGTGAGCAGACGTGTTTGTTGTGATTCATGCAAATCTGACTGTTTTTATGTTATTTCTGCATAGTGTATTAGCCCCTAATCATGGGCTAATAAAATGGTTTTGGATTTTGAGCAAATCGCTTTTCGAACAGCCTTCTGGAACGGATTATGGTTGAAAACCGAGGTATGACTCGACAACAATGTTCGAGTCGATCAGTAGCGGTGCCAAGCAACAAAGGGGAATCCCGCGCTGTACATTATGTTCATAAGCAAGGTCGCGGCGGCAGTTAGCTTCCCACGGTTCACTGTAAAGTAGGCCTTTTCACTATTTAGTGGGAAAAATCTGGCCGTTATACTGAAGTTTATATCATAAACGTGTTTGTTGTAAGCAAAATTGGCAAATGGAAAATGAATAACGTGAAATCGGAACTTTGAAATGTGAACGTTAGAGGGGTGAAAACGTAAACGGAGTACGCTGAAAAGAGGTTCAACCGTATCTTCAACAGTATGTTCGTGTTTATGTTTTGGATTCAAATGTAAATATACGAAAAAACAATCTGAGTTGTTGTCTCATCTTCATATTTTAAAGTCAAACTCAAATGTTTTCTACAGTAGAAATACTTCACAGGAGACAAGATTGGGCCTCCAGAATTTCTTATCCATCTCATTTCCTTACATATCCTGCTTCGAATTTGAAAAATCACAGCTTCAGTCTCCCATCACTCCCGGATGGGAATGTCAGGGAGAGCTCCCGCTGATTCTGCAAAATGTTCAGTTGATTTTTTTCTGAATAAGGTTCTATTATTAATGACAGAAACTCGGAGTGTAATTCAAAAATTATACGCAAGAACGGTATCTAAAACAAATTTAGGACACGTTTCCATACCTTCCATATCTCTTCTTCACTCAGCGAGGTGAGACGGTCGCTCTTGAGGACCTCCTTGAGAAGGCGGAACGGCAGCTGCAGGACGTCCTCCTGCCGTGTCTGGCTCAGCTCAGACAGGTGACCAACCAAGAAGCCCACCACAGCCTCCTCCAAGGAAGGAAGGTGAAAGAGATCGGCCACACGGTACAGCTCCAAGTAGTTAACAGTGTTCAATTCCTGCAGACACGCAGAGAGACAGAGTTTATATTCCGGGAGTGGGACCTTTGATGCCTATGCAAAGAAAAACGGACTCAACTTCAATAAAGAATAGTCTAAATTATTTTGTATGATAGAAGGTAAGCACTTGATGAACGTTCATCTTTTACTTGGCTAAAACGTTCTATTAGTATCCAGTCAGTACAACACACGCCAATATTACAGTCACAACTAAGTTCTAGTTAACAAATGCCACACATTCCCATTTGCCAAACATTTATGATAGAGCGCATGTGCTTTATCAGACAAGCCACAAATGTGCAGTTTTTACATTAAGCGTAAGCTGATTTCAATCTCACAGTGTAATGAAAAAGCAGTGAGGGAGAAAGGCAATAAATGTGAGAGGAAGGGGGTGGGATGGGGAAATACAAGTGTTTGAAAATGTGGAATACGACTGCCACCTTCTGGCATTGGTGAATACAGCAGTGTATAGCCTGAATGTCCCTCGAACGGCACAAATCACGTACATATTCTGCACAGGATACATTATATAAACACACACATTTCAATTAAGATTATTTCATTTCATTTTAATCAAACAATTAAACTAGAGTTATGATGATTGGTGTATTTTTAAATGAAAGTACTGTACACACCAAGAATGGTTTGGATCAATTAAGTATTCGCTGCGCATCATTATTCACAATTATGGGTGGAGGTCATCGTGACACGCCACTCAATCTGAATTTTCATGCCATGGCAGGTAATCAATAGCAATCATTTGACCTCACCTTCTACCAATACATCTAATGCAGCATCTGGTACAACTTTTGTCATGTAAATATGCATACGTGTGTTTACTGTTCCTAACATTAATAAACAATCACTTAACGCTCATCTGTTTACAATGTCAAGGGCTGGTCATTTGTTGCTACATAACGTTGTGAAACCACCAGATGGCTCACGAGAGCAACCTTTGCCATTAAGTGTTAAACATGCTGAATTACAGTTATGTATTTTCATGACGTGACCAGCGATTTGGGATAAAATGACCTTGTACTCACACGCAAATATTTAATGTGGGAATTTAAAATGTATGTTATGCAATCGAGAGGCCATCATGATCCAGACAGAAATGGTTCAAGGATGGGGAGAATAACAGTGTTTGAACAAGTCCTGAATAAGTACCTAATGCGGCAGTACCCACACTTAAAGTGAACCTCCAGTGGACCATTTTGAGGTATTGATGGGTAAATAAAGTTTAATACATATCTGGTGGGGTTTTTTTCCGTTTTCATTTTTGTGTAGAACAATTCTGTCTGATGTCTCCCTGCTCCAACACTCCCGATTCAAATGATCAAGGATCATTATCAGGCTTCTCACAGCTTGCTGATGAGCTGATCATTTGATTTAATGCAGATTTGTGTTATGTTTTGGTTAAGATTAAATTTGGTTTTGTTCCCTGGTGCCCTTTTTGTCTTCCGCTGTTTTCGTCATCCGGCCCACTTGTGTTTAACCAATCAGCTCCCTCAAACCTTTGTGTCTTGTCCAGGTGTTTCTCGTTGTTTTGTCACTTTGCTTGTATTTAGTTCCCTGGGTTTTGTCAATTGTGGTTGGATCATTGTGTGTGTCTGTGTGCTCCTGTCATATTTTGTTCCGGTCATTGTTTGTTTGTTTATTACTATGGGTTCTTGTGGTTTTCAGGACTTTGTATTTGTTAATGTATTTTTTTCCAGTGTACCCCTGCAAATGTTTTTGTTAATACATGTTGTTCAGCGCAGCCTGCTCCTCCTGCCTCCCCGCTTTTTGGGGTCCTCTACCTACCACGGACAAACATGACAATTTGTGAAAGCCATTGACGAAGCCAACCTCCACAAAATGTGCCTGAAAAGTGGAGCTGAAATCTTTCGAAAAATAATGTGATTTCTCATCTTCAAAGTATTCAAAATGAAATGCATCCTCCTCCTCTAAAAAGTGAGCAGGTGTATCGAAATGAGTTTCATCACTCGCATGTATTTAGAAACTGCCATTCTAGTTTGCATCCGTAATTATCAAAAACATGCTGAGTTGTCAACATAGGTTATTTTGATTAGTTTCTGGAAAAGTACAAATGAATGCAGCATCCAGCGATACAAAGCGAGCAGCAGGAATTCGGACCAGGGTTCCTCCTGTGGACAGTGACGTCTCAGTGATAGTCGGTACAGTGATGAGGAATACGTTCCTTAACTAGCTGAAAAAAAAGTTAGTCAAGTTTCATCTTGTTTGTGACATTTATGGATGGAACGAGACAGAGCCACTCAATAAATCTAAATGTCTGCTCAATCCTAAAGTGATTTCTTCTTTCTCCATCTTTGACCAATTGTGAGGTAAAGACTGTACAGATGGGTGAAATGCAACGTTCTTCTGTGCCTCAACAGCTGCTTTTGTGAGAATCCACAAATGATATGAAGTGACATGCTCATGCTCCACACTGAATGTTCAGTCATACATATTGGGAGTAAAGGGAAGTGAACTTGTGTTTTGTGTTTATAATGTGTGTTTTTATAGTTTGTAACAGTGTTTTATAATAGTATAGCATAGGTAATAGTTGTAACTCCTGAAAACAACATCAATAAATAATCTCCATATGTGAAATGGGACCAAGTACTTGTTTACGCTATTGTTAAGAAGATGCATTTTATCTACATTTATATGTATTTTATGTACGATACACACATTTACAGTGTCAACTTCACTTCTCATCTGTTTGAAACCAAAAAACACACCCAATGCTTTTTAATCATTAGAAATAAATTCAGGGGTCAAAGGGTTATAGAACTACTGTTTTTTTTTTAAATTGTGTGAATATTTTGCCACTGGATGCTGTTATTTATTTTCTTTTATTTTGCTTTTGCATTTGCCCCCAAAATTGTTAGTATGTGCCTGCACAGAAGAGAGGATATATTGTATGTAATCCGTAGTGTGTGTGTGTGTGTGTGTGTGTGTGTGTGTGTGTGTGTGTGTGTGTGTGTGTGTGTGTGTGTGTGTGTGTGTGTGTGCTTGCATGAAGCTGCTTTTGGCTTTTGGCTTCCAGTGGCTTAAGGCTTCATTGCCAGTATTTGCAAAATAGTCTCTGTTGGAATCAGTTGCATTGTGGGAAATGCGCTACATTTTGACAATGAATAAAGAATGTAAGGGCGGCACGGTACATATAAACCAAAATGTGGTTATTTTGAGTACATAGTTGAGCAGTGGAACTTTTCTATATGCATTTGAAAATTAAAACCGATGAGGATACTCTTCTGCACACTGGTTCAATAAAAAAACAGACAGAAGCACTTATTTTGCCTCCAAGTAGATTAAAAAATGTGGCCCAGTACATTATTTAAATTGTGAGTGTGTGTGTGTGTGTGTGTGTGTGTGTGTGTGTGTGTGTGTGTGTGTGTGTGTGTGTGTGTGTGTGTGTGTGTGTGTGTGAGAGATAGAGGAAGGTTTGGTACCTGGATGAGGTAGTGGGAGCAGATGCTGAGGAGTTCCAGCAGCTGAAGGTGGCTTCCAGCAGACAACACATCCTGGATCACTGTTGGCTCCAGTACAATCTGCCCACAGGAAAACACAACCTTTGCCATATATGTCAATAATGTCATAATAACCCCTAAACCAGTGGTTGTGAACCTGGGTTCGATCGAACCCTTGGGGTTCGGTGAATCAGTCTCAGGTGTTCGACGGAGCCTCTGCCATGGAGGGTAAGACATATGCGACTCAAGATGTCAATTAGTTATGATACACCCACTTGGCCATCACTGCCTGCAGATGATCACATGACATTGCTTGTCCAATCAGTGCTGTGGGAAATTTAGTTTGCTTAGTATTCAACGTGTGACTGTCTGCATAGTACAATTAAAACAAATAAAACATTATATCTATCAATCGATCGATAGATATACTTAGCGCTTGAAATGTTATTTCCTTTTTTTCTGTTTTTAATAAATGTTTTTTTAAACATCTTCAATTTGTAAAAAAAAAAAAAAAAAAAAAAAAAAAAAAATGTATACCGGTATTTATTTTTCGCTAATGAAGGGTTCGGTGCATGTGCATATTAACTGGTCGGGTTCGGTATCTCTAAGAAGGTTAAGATCCATTTCCCTAAACCAATAACACCTTTTTACTGTATGTCTATTTCGGAGGGAAAAAAATACAAAATGGATGATTTAACCCGAAGTATTATATAGAATGCTGTGAACAATGCAAAAGTTACAGATTGATGTGAAGTGACTCACCTCCCAGACACAGGCAGTAATCTTCCTTTGCACGGACAACACATATTACTTTCTAAATTGTTACGTTTTATTGTACTGTGGTCTATTTATATATATACATGGATATGATGGTTACAATGTTTTACTTGGAGAGAATGTGGTGTGCAAGAAGCCGCCTGACTTCACAAACCAGGTTTTCTTATGGAGGAGTTTATTTTACTGTAACTCAATCTTAACATGAAGTGGTTCAATGTTTTTTGACACTTCAATGACCTTTATGTTGAAATGTTACTTAAACTCAACAGCAGTGGTTCTCAACCTGGGTTTGATCGAATCCCAAAGGTTCGGTGAATCAGTCTCAGGGGTTCGACGGAGCCTCCGCCTTGGAGGTTAAGACACACCCGACTCCACATGTCAATTAGTTATGACACGCCCGCTGCAGATGATCACATTACATCGTTTGTCCAATCAGTGCTGCGGGAAATTTAGTTTGCTCAGTCGTCAATGTGTGACTGAGGTGATAATACGTCACATGATTTTTTTTTAAAATTTTTTTATTTTTAGATTTTTTTTTTAAAATATGCTAACTATATCGAGCAAAAAAAAAAGAAAAAAAAGAAAGTGGTCGGACGAATATGTACAACATGGATTCACATGCATGACGGAAAGTGACAGGACTCAATGGCCTATCTGCATAATTTGAGCAACTCAAAACTGAATGAACACTTGTTGAATCATATTTTTATTTTTCCCTAATGAAGGGTTCGGTGAACGTGCATATGATCTTGAACAAGGTTAAGAACCACTGCTCTGTAGTAAAAAAACAAAACGACCAAAACAAAAAGAAATTTATTATGATGCTGTCAGTTTGACCCGAGAAGAAATTAATATCTGAATTGGATATGATTTTGAAATTGGGGTGGAAAAAAAAAATTAGATGGAACAGATTAAGGTGGACTTTAGCGTTTCTGCCTCTGTATTTCTTCAAAGATGTTTGTCAGCCATCATCAAGATTAACGATGGGTTCTTGTTTGTTAGTTTTTTTTTATCCATTTTTCAGTTACAGCAAAACGATCCCATGATGGTGTGTGCAATTAATTTGCAGGCCTGTATGACATGTGAGTAAAGGATTTTAGTGGGTTGTTATTTATGGTGTGGGGATAAGCATATTGTCCTCATCTCATCCGCTATCATCTTCTCTGGCCAGACGGATGGCTGAGCCAACTGATGCAGGCGGCTTGCAAGCCTGCTGTTGACCTACTTACACTCCCAAACCAACTACCACTTGCTCATTTCCACTGTGGAAATAAAATTAGGGCGTAATTACAACTTGAGTTTGCAGCCTCTCGCTATCCAGTATAAACCTCGGATGCTTCTGGGACTGAATATTGCTGATGGAGCAAGGGTAAAGGAAGGTCGTATGACATGGTCAGACACCTGTTGGGGCTGGTGAGAGTACACGAATGGCAGAACACCAATACAATTCCCACCACCAGATCCACAGTCACGCTGCTGATTATGTTTATGCGGGTGAGATTAAAAGGCTAATCGGCAAAAACCTTGTATCATGTTCGATATTTAGAAGACGTATTTGGCTGTGTGAAAAACCACAAGGAGGAAGGCCCATTTGAAAAGGCTCGTCTAACGCCAAATCATTTTCACTGTCTTTGTGTTGAAGTGTAATTTGCAAATACATTCATAACAGCATTAAAATGATTAAAGGATTAACAAATGCAGTATTCAATCATAAAATGGGCGAAGTGAATAGTGAAAGGGGCATAAATGAAAAATGAGAGGAAAGCCGCAACACCGTACTGTATTGGGTACTCAAATACTTCTATCCATGTATACTAAAACATCAGAAATAAACACAATATCTTGTATTTATTAAAATGCAAACACTTAAAAAACAAACAAATTGCAAACCCCAAAAGACACGCTCATGAAAAAACAATTATTAACCAAAAAATATTTACATCACGGGGGAGACGGCAAATTGTGAAGGCGATGACAATGTGTCATGAAACTGAAAAATGAATTGTTCTATTGACATCCACCCTCCACTCAGCTGACCCAGAGGCAACTGCATGGCTGAAGGACTTTGCATTCGCTAAATAAATAAATAAATAAATTCCCAATTGAATGTATGATCAATTAATTAATGAATAATTTCTATCGAACTTCTCACCTGTCCAGTGTAGGCGAAGTCCAAGGCATGCTTCAACCCGACACTCGTCACTCCTTGCAGAGTCACTTCATCAGCCACACTCTCCACCATGCACAAGCTGAACATGGCCTGATGACAAAACCAAATATGGAAGTCAGAAGAGGGACTTTACATTTTGCTTCATCATTTAACAGATTTTTGTTTTTCCCCCCAGACTCTTGTCTCTTTTACGTTTTAGTATTTTATGTGTGAATTGTAGCTGCACTGCAAAATGAGTTGCGGAGCTGCAGAAAACACAACAAGACAGTTTAATCCGAACCTGCCAGACACAACAGCCAAGAAACTTTTGGTATTTATTGCTTTCCTCAGCTCCAAAACTGTATACAGCACAATCAGTACTTTGTGAGAAACAGTACACCTCTTGCCCTAAGTTGGGCGCACACAGACATCTGGGCAAAATCAAAGCAGGGGCCACAGTGTCTGCAGTCTGACACTGCTGAGTGGAGCTTTGGTCATCAAAGCTATTGATTGCTGTCATGCCATGATGGGATGTCACCCACTGATCAGGGGACCAGTGCAGCAGTGTGACAGTAAAGCACGAAAGGGTGATGTTCCAAACAAGGAAATAAGATATCTATTCCGCTTAACATTCACATCTTCACATTCACTCTTTTTCCTCTGATGTATTCCATCTGATCGACCAAAAGTTGCAATTTAATTGAATCAAAACAAACTACATTAATAAAAAAAATAATAATAAGACACCGTTGTAATGAACAGTGAAAGAGATATGTCAGTTTATTTATTTTTTTGGGACAGTAATTTGCAGAAGAGTAGCGCTGCATTACTGATGGGCGATTCTAATAATTAGTTTGTTCCGATTTGGCTCAATGATAATTGCACAATTCCAATGATAAATATTTTTTCGAGGATTCAAGGTTTAGAGTGGAGCAGTATTGTCTAACATGTTGTGGTTATTCTATGAAACAAAACATTTTTTAATTACTCAGACTGAATGGTAGACTTAACATGTTAACATATCATTTGACTTGTCCTTGTAAAGGTATAACTTTTAGCTTAGCTTTTTGTATTTCATGTCACTCGACTGTGGAAGTGGAGAGGCCTACCTAATGAAAAGTTCAGTGTGTGCCTAACCTCCTTATACGTGTCAAAGACCCAGAGGCAAGGCAGTGAAAGCATCTCTTTCTGTCACGAAAACAAAGTGCATTCCTCCCAAAATTCCAATCGAGTTTTTGATGATTCATGGCGCACATGAACTTTAACTCGGCAATGGGAGCGCCCCGCTCTCCTCGGGCAAATGGCCACGTAAGAGTTGGAACAACTTGAATTTGAGCGGAATTTTGTCCAGTGCTTACACAGTCTAGTTGATTTTCCACGCAGCCAATTAAAAATACACCGGTCCATTAGGCACAGGGAGTGCGGTGGTACAACCAGAGAGTAATGGTGGCAGCGCTGTGGTGTGCCTGCACAGATGAGTGTCAGTGAAAAACTAGTTGTGTATCCAAGCTTTTGTGTCATTACTGTGGAGTGTTTTTAGAGCTGTCTGTCCCTCGCATGACTGTTCCTGACCTTGGTGTCGGTGCTAAGGGACAGCTGATGATGGATAGCTCTGCTGACTTGGAATATAGATCCCTGAGTCCTGCTCACTGCAGTCTTTTCCCTGTGATGCTGCAGGAGGAGTGCAGTGCTGCACTTAGCTTGACCTTCTGGAAAAATAAGTATGACTGCACTTCAATTTATGAATTGAAGTGCATTTATTTGGAGTAGGAATTCACAAACAGGTGTGCATGTGAACTTATGCAATTTCACTTAATTGGTTTGAAAATTATTGTATGTCTTTCTTTGATTCCTGTGAGAGTAAATCAGCCCTGCGTTCATATATATATATATATATATA